GTTAAACTTACCTTGGTCACCCCGACGATACAGAAAAACTGGAATATTATTTTAACACCAAAATGAACCTGTAGCGCTTTAATTCATCAGCAAGGATTAAGATAATCCATCGAAGGATTATTTTTGCAAAATGTTTTACAATGAATTTGGTTATCATCAATACTATGATATGTATTTACTTTATGTATTTACTATGTATTTACTTATATTATCCCGTGCAGAAAGCGAGCAGAAAGTTTGCAACTCAAAATTTATATGGCTCCCGATCAGAGCAAGACCTGACGAGACAGTTTATATTCAATCCCGGCCCCGACCAGGCTCCGTCTTTCACTCTGACTTGGTGCCAGATTAATCAATATTTCTGCACGGGAAATTTATTCAATTATTTTTCTCTTACCTGCACTGTACAGAAGTGAAGTTACATCTACACAAGAAGAACCACTACATAACATCACACTTAGATCCTGTGCTGACATTATGTATTGGTGCCTCCAGAGTAGAAAATATTTGTATATTTTAGAATTACTTTGATAAAGAAAACTTTTCCTTATTCTCTGCGCTTTTAGTTCCACCAGCTGTTCAGCAGAAATATTCTATAAATTTTCAATAAAAGTACCACTGCAGTTAATTTTAAAATAAAAACATTTGTGTAATATTATTTATTTCTATTACAATGTTTTTATATTTAAGACGTCCTGTTTTTCAATTAAAATTATCATAATCAAGTAATTTAAAGATTTTTGTCACTTTTTCTATTATAAAAAACATCAAAATGACCGCGCAGAAAATACATTATACATTAGTTTTGGATAAAAAAAACGCACTGAATTCTTTCATGAGTCTAAATTTTATGATTGCACTTTGAATGTATATGTTTGGTACGCGCTCCGAAGAAAGGTATATAAGAAGCAAAAAATCATAGGTTATGTTTGTAACTTTAGTTATGCCTTATGCAGTGCGGTTATGAAAATAACACAAATATGATCAAGTTCTTATTATAAACCACTGATTTAAGTCTTCATTAGACCCAAAATATTTGATAAAAGCTGATTTTATTTTTACAGAATTTAAAACATTTCTTCAGTTAAATCAGTAGAATCATATAGCACTTTACACGCGCGTTATCACATATATATGTCTGGAACAAATAAGGCATAGACGCGGAGAATTTGAAAAATCTATTTCATATTGAACATTTTTAATATTACAATATGTGGAATTGAAACGTCTACTCTCGGGCATAATCTCAAGGGAACTGATATTTGCACGACATAATACTGCTGAAGATCAACGTGAAACCAAATGTTCAAGAGAGAACTTCTGTGTAGGCTTGCTGACAACATTAGTTTCAATGTCTCAAGTATCATATAGGATTTCAAGTATTTTTAAAGGCTATAATATAAACACTACTTCAAACTGATAATGAGTGAATTAAATCTTTGCCCAGATACCATAACTACTCATATCCGCTTGCGAAGTCTAATGCAAACTTTAAAAAGATATAAATGTTCAAATTTAATAAATCGCAGCATAACAATTAAAAACTAAATTTGTGACGCGCTCCGAAGAAATAAGAAACATTTTGGATCTATTAATGAAGACTTAATGGTGTTCCGCAGTGATCGCCTTTTAAAAATGGCTGCTCAAATGAATACTTGATTTGAAAATGATTTTTCTCCCAATTCGGGCAGTTATTGCAAAATCGGAGAAAATACAAGATATCCTGAATATATTTTATCTTTCATTTGCGCGCAAGAAGTAAAAGATTTGTTTAGATTTACAACGACAGGAAGTAAAATAGGAAAAAGTTAAACAAATGCGCGATCCATAAAATTACCACCAGAGGGCAGCACCTAATGGGCACATCTCATTTTCTCATTTTACTTCCTGAAGTCGTGTATTATATTGGATTTTCAATTTCTTTTGCACAAATGAAAGAACAAAATTTCAGGATAACTGGTATTTTTCCCTATTTTGCAATAATTGTCCAAATTGGGAGAAAAATCCTTTTCAAATTATGTTTAATTATGTTCAAGCAGCCATTTTTAAAAGGCGACCACTGTTTGAAATTGCGCAACACCGTTAAATCAGTGGTTTATATTAGTAAAAACTTGATCATCTTTGTTTATTTTCATTAGAAAAATTACTAATAAGAGAAAAATATTTGTATATGTATGTACGTGTGTTTGTCCACAAAATCCGGACCGAGATTCACGCAAAAGCAGCTTGACCAATTAAAGTAAAATATTAATATATGGACGAAAGTGATGCAACTTTTTCTAAAATTCAAAATTTGTAGTTTTTTTAAAATTTTATATATTGTAATTAATTTCATTCAAACTTGCTATAGAGTTAATATTATTATTTTTGTTAAAATTTTGTCGTCAGAAAAGTAAAATTGTGAATTACAAATTCAAAATGTTCGATTCAAACATTTTAGGTTCAAAAAAATCAAAAACTCACAAATTGAAATTTTTTTACTTATAACTTTAATTTATATCAATTATAGTATAAGTTTATAAGTATGTAAGTCTATGGTTTGAGATTTATAAAGTGGTTTGAGTTTAAATTGCCGGCCGTGGGCTTAAAATTTATAGGCAAAAATGAAAACATTTAAATGTCAAGTTTCAGTTTTTGAAATTTCGAAATGGCAGATTCAATATGGGGGACGATATGTTTAAAGTTAATGCGATTTTTATCACTGACAAAAGGTGTATCCTATTAGAATAACTTCTTTTAGCATACTTTTTTGTAAGAGAATTATACGTAATATAGATGGGTGTTGTTATAAATTACTAATTTATAACATTGATACATTAATTATTACTTATTACATTAATTTTTTTATAAGTATTTTCTTTTTTGTTGTTGATAATTCAATGCCAAACCAAAGATATCTCCTTGTCTTTTATGCGCTAACTTCTATGAATTTCGTGTATATAAAATCCAAAGTCAAACCAAAGTTATCACCGCGGTCTTTTATGTTTACTGTCATGAATTTTTTGTGAAGTTATTTTTAATATACATATTCAGATAAGAGACGAGAAAATTAATTGTATACGGAAATTTTGTCTCCAACATTCAAAAATTACATTTTAAATACTGGATTTTTAAAAAATATTATTAAATTTATTGTTGCTATATATTTTTAAATATATAAAACTTCTTAATAGTTTTCTATAAAAAATGTCCGAATTTTCTGGTAATTTAAAACCGTCAAAACTTATGTAAAATTGGATGAATTTTTTTACTGCTTTTAACAGATTGTTAGAAATGATTATATCAATTATTTGTTTAATTAAAAAAAATATTTTTGTGTCTTTTTAATATTTTTTTGTTTTTCTTATTATTTTCAATTTATTGTTAATAAATATTTTCAATTATTTTATTTATTATTATTAGGTATTATTTATTATTAAAAATATTAATTTTTTTAATTGATTATTTTATAGAAAATAATAACCATTTCTATAAAATAATTGATTTAAAAAATTAATATTTTTAATAATGAATAATAATAAATAAAATAATTAATAAATAAATAAATTTATTATTTAATAAAAGTTAATAAAATTGTTTTTTTTTATTATTGGTTTTTTAATGGCAGCCAATAATGGTTGCCAATTATTGGCATCGGCGTGGACATCCCACTATTTTACCATTAGTGGTCCATTATTGGGTGCCAATAATAAACCTAGAGAAAACCAATGGCTCCCAATATTGGGCTATTAATACGCCAATGGTAGAGTAATGGCTATTTCCCATTGGGTCAAATCGGTTAAAAATTATAGGATATAGACAGTTTCAAAAAGTCGATTGTATAAAAGAAATACACTGCCCAGCTTAAAATCCCCGTACAGAGAATCTTTGAACCACTGTTAACTTTTCTTTACCAAGTATCTATATTCACACCAAAAATTCTTTAAGAACCTACAAAGACATTAAATTTATTATTAAAATGATAAAAACCCTCCCACAAAAGTATTCGACGCAAATACCATTTAATTGATTTAAATAAAAATTATTAGATTCAAGTAAATATTTATTTGATAGTAATCAGATAGTAATCAATTACTTAAATGATATAATATATACCAACTGTTTAATTTTTTATTTCAGAATAATTATTTTAAAGTATTAAGATAAAATTTTAAAAAATACAAAATTTTAATTTTTTGTGAAAAATAAAAATATCGGTCAATTCTATAAATATTGGTAAAATATATACTTTATATACATGATTCGATTCGTTTTCATGTCAGGAATGCAATTTTGACAAGAATTAACGAAAACCACGCCTACTTTCTAGATTTCCAGGGATGAGCATAGGTATATTCTCTTTGGGCGCCCTCTCCCAGTGGGCAAAAAACCATCATTGTTTTAAAAACGTTCCAAAAACGTTTTTAGAACGTTTCATGTCTGATAAATAATGTCCCAAAAACGTTATATGGTTCTAAAACGTTTTAAAAGCAATGGAACGTTTTTGGAACATTATTTTGCAGACATGAAACGTTCTAAAAACGTTTTTGGGACGTTTTTAAAACAATGATGGTTTTTTGCCCACTGGGCTCTTATTTGGAACCTTCATTGCTCCCTAACTGTCGGCACTGAAAGTTGATAACGTAAGCTGACGTCATCTTGCAATTACGAGAGGGTACCGCCCTAAAAGGGCTTGCAGTTTCGTGAATCTTGCAATGACGAGACACGACTGTAATATATATTTATAATATATATAAATTATATATATAATTTATATATTTATATATTTTATGTATTTTTATATTTTAAAGATTTTACGTTTGAATTTTTAAATTACTTTTTCACGATGCCTCGCTGTTAATGTTCAAGATATGAAAAAAGTTTTCCGTATACATGTGTATAAACAATTTCTTTATATTTAATGTTTTTAAATGATCTGTAGTTTTTCTATTGGTTAATAGAACATAAAATCTAATGATAATTTAAGTTTATTACATGTTCTTTAGAGAAATGTAAAAATTTGTGAAATTATAAAATATTTCAGAACGTTATATTTTTAGTCTTTTGCAAAAGGGCTGTAGAGTTTGAGCAACTTAAACTAATAAACTTTATCTAATTGTTCAATTTAATGAAAAAGAAGAATTTAATTTTGCACCAATATTGTAAAATCAATAATAACCTACACTACTGTCAGCTTAAGTAACTTTTGACAGATACACTGTAAAAAATTTGTGGATTTTTCCCTGAGGTTCCTTGTGGAATATTCCACAAATTCACGGGGAAAAGTATTTTCACTACGATTTTGGGGAATTTTCCACAAATTAGTGAAATTTTGAACAAACTTGGGGAAAAGTGATAAAATATTAGGGAATTTTCTACAAAGCGAAGGGGAAAAAATTTTTCACTACAATTTTGTGCAATTTTTCACATTATAGTGAAGATTTCAACAATATTATAGGGAAATTTGTATATAATTTTAGGGAATTTTCCACATATTAGTAAGAAAATGTCATTTTATGAAAGCTTTGTGGAATTTTCCCAAATTTAATAAAAATTTCCACAAAGTTGAAAAAACTTTTTTAAATTTTATAAAATGGGTTAATTTTTACTAAATTGCATGTACAAAATTATTAACATTTTTACAAAATGTATGATTTAGGGGCTAAAAAATTAAAATTTATATTACAGTGAAATGTTTTTTTATAATACTTCATTAAATTAATGTTTTAAACAAATGAGCTTTGTCTAATTTATAATTTAAATAACAATTTTTACTAGAAAAAGCATTTAGAAGAAATGAAATTAATTAAACTTTACAATTATTATAATTTTAATAATTTAATAATTATATAATAAAAAATACTTTCACTATGAACTACATAAATTTTTTGTTCTACTTATAGTAAAAATTTTATCTTAAAAATACAATTAATACTTTGGTAAAAAATTTTTTAATAAAGCATGTTTAACAAACAATTATAAACTATTTTTCACTTATAAAAAGCATTGCCATAAATAGTTAGGTTTATTAAAAGATATATACTATGGGGGGCCTTAAAATTTTTTTGCTCTTAGTCAAAAGTATAAAATGTTTTGAAGCATTTTCTTATTTTGAAAGATTTGGCACATCTGGTTTGTCTTTGGATGACCAACAATACCTAAGGGTTTCTCGTTGCAAGGGGACGTATTTTATGAGTTTCTCGCAGGACCCGTTTTTTCTTATAAATTTATTTAGCTAGAATGTTTGAGAAATTCTCAAGAAGTCTTCTTCGAAAAGTCTTTCAAGATGATTTTACATGTTAGTTGCTTTTCAGCCTTCGTAAGAGTAAAACCTTGAGTGAAAAAAATATTCAAAGTTATTAAATATATAGTGATGGTTATATGTATAATAGCGAAGTGGACAATTTGACAATATTTAATAATATTCTAGAACGATATTTAAGGATTATTTAAAAATTATTAAAAAGGTAAATAATATTTAAAGATATATTATAATTATATTGTAAGTGTAACATATTGTATCCCAGTAAAAAAAAACTAATTCAAATGAATTGAAACGAATTAACATTTTTGGTAGGCTCCAATTCGTATTTGTCACAAAGCGGGATTCACTCAAGCTCTTTGTATATTCAATTGAATTTAATTCAATATGTACCAATTTGTCCAAACGAATTCGCATTCGAAAGAAATGGCCAAGGAATGCATTGAATTCGTGCTAACGAATTGAAAAAAATTAAAGGCTCAAAACTTGTCCAGTGAATTGGTACGGATAGAAGGTTCGGAAGTTCAATACAGTTTCACGAATTCAGGAAAATTGCATCATGGCTCCAATTCGTATTTGTCACAAAGCGGGATTCACGAAAGCTCTTTGTGAATTCTTTTTAATTCATTTCAATTAGTTTTCGTTTACTGGGATTGTAAAGTTTTTTAAAACTATTTTTGGTTTTATCAAAAAATTTAGTTAGTTATTCATATTTTGCCATATAATGTTAATTTAACAATTGACTTATAGAATTCAATTAATTTTTAATATTTTAGTTAGATAACGTAGTTTAGGTATTTTTTATATTTTAATCAAAATAAAAATTTTTTAATTTATTTTAAAAATATATAAATAAAAATATGAAATATAATATTGAATTAGAAAAGTCATAACCCTATTACTACTATATATTCATAGTTTTTGGTAAATATATTATTGTTCAATTTAATTTTTATGTATTTTTTTGTCAATTGTAAAAGGTAAATAATAATTTATTTTTACAGTATGTTGTTGGACAATCAACCCCCTAAAGGCAATATAAACGGAGAACTTTCGCATTACACAAAGACTATTTGCGATCCGAAAGCAAAAAATTAATTATTAATGTTGTAAAGTTCAGATGTAGTACTTTTAACTGAAGTACTTATCGTTCACTGACAGTACCTAATATAATAAACAGTATTTAAAAAATTTGTTCAAGATTTATTCAACCTTACAAACCAATCTTCCTAAATATGAAAGGATAAAATTTACTGAAAAATTCTGTACTATTTTACAGTAAAAATATCCCAACGTTCGAAGAGAAAAATTCCATAATAAGTAATTTAAAAGAGAAATTTTCTAAGAATTTACAAGAAAAATTTTCCAAGGTTGCAAAGGGAAGATTCCCCAAGATTTCAAAGGGAACAGTTCCCAAGGATGCAAAGGGAAAATTCCACAAGATTTTAAAGGGAAATTTCCTCGAGTTTCTTGGGGAAAATTCCCCAAGATTTCAAAGGGTAAATTCCTAAAGTTTTTTGGGGAAAATTCCCCAAGATTATAAAGGGAAAATTCCCCAAGGTTTTAAAGGGAAAATTCCACAAGATTTTAAAGGGAAAATTCCTCTAGTTTTCTTGGGGAAAATTCCCCAAGTTTTCTTGGTGGAAATTTACCTTTTTTGGTTAAAATTGCGTCACCAAGATTTTGGGGAATTTTCCCCAAAAATTTTTTACAGTGTAGACTTATTCCGGACACCATTAAAACAGGTAATATTATAATGTAATAAAATATTATTCTATAATAAATTGGCTATACCTAATCCCTTCGTTTTTGAGAAAAATTATTATGATGGTCCAAAAATGCATAAAAAAAGGAAATTAGCAGTTTTAAAATTTGTTTTGTGCACTGTCTACTTTACTTTGTATTATTACTTTTAACCCTCTGCTTAAGCTGACTTATCCCCACTCTAGTGCTTTTGAATGTTATTCCCATAGTCCCCACCAGGCGACCGAATTATCGTTTTTTTTGTCGATAACGGTCACTTGCGTAAGCAGAGGGTTAAGTTGATTAATGCAAATATTTTCAAATCATGCAATATCCACTTAGACTTCATATATTTAATTAATTAACGCATAAATATTAATAAAATTATTTTTATCCCACGCATGCACAAAAATGGCGCTTTCTGATAGCAGACGACAGGGAGGAAAATCATTCATTTCTTCGACCATATGAAAATGGCGGCCGTGTTCTCCCATGGGCAAGAAAATTACCTGTTCACATGCATTTTTCTTGCCCAAGGGAGAAAACGGCCGCCATTTTCATAGAAGTCGAACAAGTGAATGACTTTTACTCCCTGTCGTCTGCTATCTGAAATCGCCGCTTTTGTGCATTAGGAATAAAAAATATCGTAAGTAACACGAGAATAAAGGCAGCCAATTTCTTTACGATGATTTTTGTGACACTTCTTCCGGTCCTTTTGTTGCCTTTATCCTTTTGTTGCTTAATATACTATTGTTTATAAGGGGCTTTCTCTGTAAAACAGACCCCCCCCCTCTTCCTAGAAAGGGTTTAAAAATAAAAGACCATTCTTTTAAAAAAATAACAGATTTGGATACGTCGTTTTTTTGCCACATGGCTTTTTCTAATTAAAATTTTTCATTAGACAATACAGCGATATAAATAAATAAATGACAAAAAAAATAAATTGTTTCATAATTTTCAAATTTGACCGAATTTGTTGAAAACTTATTACTTGGAGATTTTTGGGGTCGCTGATTACGAATCTGAAGTCACTTTTTAAAAATTTAAAATGGCGGATCCAATATGGACAAAATTTTTAAAACTTTGATTGGATTCGCTTAAAACTTAGGGGCCGTCCATCCCAGTAAACGAAAACTAATTGAAATGAATTAAAAAGAATTCACAAAGAGCTTTCGTGAATCCCGCTTTGTGACAAATACGAATTGGAGCCATGATGCAATTTTCCTGAATTCGTGAAACTGTATTGAACTTCCGAACCTTCTATCCGTACCAATTCACTGGACAAGTTTTGAGCCTTTAATTTTTTTCAATTCGTTAGCACGAATTCAATGCATTCCTTGGCCATTTCTTTCGAATGCGAATTCGTTTGAACAAATTGGTACATATTGAATTAAATTCAATTGAATATACAAAGAGCTTGAGTGAATCCCGCTTTGTGACAAATACGAATTGGAGCCTACCAAAAATGTTAATTCGTTTCAATTCATTTGAATTAGTTTTTTTTTACTGGGATGAACTACGTTACCAATTTTTCAGACTTTTAGACCCCCTCCCCTTCTCGTATACCTTTTCACCTTTTCAACGCTATATAAAAAAAATATTACTTTAATTAAAATATAATTAAGGGCGTGGATCGGATAACTGCCTGTAGCGCATGGCCGAAAAAGACTATACCAGTCAGACAACAGTGAGCGCCTCTAGGAATCAACCACAAATATTAATGCTAAACTTTAAATTTTTTCAATTTCTGACAATAAAATTGATCTTTATAGAATCTGAAATTGAATTTATTTTAAATAATTTAAATCTTGAAAAAGTTTCCTAAAATTGTTATTTATAAAATATTCAGAGAATAATATTTTAGCCGCGTGAAGCTAGCAGACCAGCAGCGGTCCGCAGCCACACGTGGCAGCCGAATATATGTGGCTGCGGACCAGTGTCGGTCTGCCAGCTTCACGCGGCTGATAATTTTACTTCAAAATTGAAAAATAATTGGATTTTAGAATAGTTGAATTTACATTCAATTTGTATAAATCATGGAATTTCAAAAGGTTTTAAATTGAGGCCTTGGATCGAATAACTCGCCCGACGCTAGGAGGAACGCGCTAATACCAGTCGGGTAGCAGTGAGTGACCCAGAGGCGCTCACTGACTGTCATAGTTGCGCGTTCCTCTGAGCGTCGGGCGAGTTATTCGATCCAAGGCCTCAATTTATCTTTAGATTTTACTATATATGATCAATAATTTAAAAACTATTTTCTTCCTTTATATTATAAAGACTTCCCAGGCGCGAAAGACCAATGCTGACGATAGATTAAAGGTTGATTGAGTCTTGAACGCTCAGTGTGGGTAACTCACAGTAGAAGCAGTCTTTACATCACTGTCAATCAATATTAGTTCAATATTGGTTCAACATTGGACCCAATGCTCGTCCCATGCTCGATTCAAGACTCGGTCAGTCTTTATGAGTGAAGCTCGAACATCTAATCTTGATTCAAGCTTGAATCAATCTTTACTCAATATTCAGTTTATCTTTATTTATTACCGTGTTCACTTAATTAAATAATATTATAATAATTATAATTATAATAATTGTTTCAAATAATAATAATAATAATTAACATTAAGTTATCAATTGATAAATAAATATATTATTAATTGTAACATTCATATTTAAAGAAAGTTAAATGGAAAATTTTTTTTTATAAATGTTTTCAAAATTATTATAGATAATTAATAAATAATAATTAAAATGTGCAATAAATATTCCTGACACTGCATCATATTTAATCATTTTATTAATTATGTTAACTTTTAATATTAATTTAATTAATTATTATTTATTTATTTATTAATTATTATAATTTTAATAATTATTATTCAATTAATAAATATTATTATAATTAATAATAATTATAATATTTAACATTATAATTCATTATTATTCCAAATTATATTTATTTACATAATATATTATTAATATATCTAATAATAAATGTTAATAATTTTGTTACTGAATAATAAAAAATATCAATTATTTATCGATGTTTATTAAATTATCCATTAAATATTTTTAATTGTAAAATGTTTTAAAAGTTGAATTTTGTAATGATTACAATTTTATTATGAATTATTTAATATTCATTTTTAATAATTAAAATAATTCAGGATTAGTATGTGTAAAATTTTTAGTCATAGTTTTCACTTTGCCCTTATAAGTAACAAAGTATACGGCACTGGCATTAATATATTACATTAGCCCGAGGTCTCATCGAGACTCAGTGGCCGTGCGGATTAAGTGGTTGCGTCTAGGACTTCCGGAATGCGTTTGGGGCGGGGGGACGTGAGTTCGATCCCACATGCGAGCGGATTTTTTCATTATAAGCGGTTACATAAAATAATAAAATTACTATTTAATCTGTATAATTAATAAGTGTTGTGAATAAAAACTTGTGAACTTGTTTGTAAATAATATTAAAAGTCTGTCAAAAATGAAGTTAAAAAATGTACAAATTATCACAAATTGTGTTTTTTTTTTTGCTAAAATTATTTTTCAATATTATTATGTTAAATGACATTTATTGTTAGTCATATAATATTTATATGAAAATAATATAATTATTATAATAATAACTTATTGTCATTAAATATGTAAATACATATATATTAATAACAATACTGTTTATTATTAATAATAATAATTAATATATTCACGTTATATTGAATGAACGCGTGAGAAGCGTGTAAATTTGGGAACAGTGGAAGCAGTCTTGTTCAGTCCTGCTTTCGGTTTCCGCAGCATTGATTGAAGATTGAACGCCAGTCTTCAACAAAGACTGAGCGTCAGGTTTACATCGATGTTACTATTCCGGACTCAAGTAGCCTTGCTTTCGCTGTCCCACCAATCTTCAACCAATACTGACCAAGTCTCAATCAAGCTTCGTAAAGCCTGAACTCACTGTCAGCTCGCGCCTGGGTTATAGATTGAAAAATTGCGAAAAAAGTTAAGTGTTAAAACATTTTATTTTTTTCCATGTATAAAGATTTTAAATTGATGAAAATGTTGGTCTTATATTTCACATTAAACTAAAATTTTAGAATTATAACTAAAATTCACAGAGTAATTTCATAAAATGTAGGGTAAAGTGCGGATAGATGCCCCCTTTCTAAGACCTCCAATATGAAAGAAAATATATTTATGGATTATTAGTTTTTTTTATACCTATTGGCCATAACAATTTTACTGTAAAGTTCCAGCTCGCTGGCACCCCGGGGTTATTAGTTGTAATAATGTAAAAATTTCAGATTGCTGAAAATGTCCAAAAATTTTCAAACTGCTGGACAAAATTCCTCATTACAAAAATCGAGGATATTTAACATGTAAGAAAATATTTTCAATTATTTTCTTGTTTCAAATTAATCAAAGAAACATATTAGATCGACGTTTTCCATTTTTTATAATAATTGTTGTAATAAATGATAATAACTTACCGCGGGGGGCGTCTTACCCACCCATATATGGCCAAATGCAGACCTTTTGTATTTTCGTTCTGATTAATTAATTATTTATTGTAGGTATTTGGTCCTTACATATATGTTAATGATAAATAGTAATAGTGTGTAAAAATCGAATGGTCAATTAAAAATATTAATATTTGTTGAATTTAGATGTAATTTTCGAATTGGGGGGCATCTATCCGCACTTTACCCTAGATGTAATATTATTATATTTTATGGTATAACATAACTTATTCAAGTGTTAGTTTTTCGTATTTTTCTAATCCTACACAGTATTTAACGATAGTTTTCGAGTCTTGAATCTTGTCTTGGTCTTGATAGTTATTGTCTCGTCTTGTCTTGAATAGACAAGACGAGAAAAAAGTTCATCTTGGTCTTGGCCTTGACGATGATTGCCTCGTCTCGTCTCGAAAATCTCGAGTCTTGCGGCATCTCATAAGTATAGAATCTTAGAGAAAAAACATAATATTCTGACACATCTATAG